GGGTATAATTCCTGTCCTGCCTAGTTCAAAAAGTGCTTGAGATAGATGATTCTTGAAATGATGAAGTGTAATAATAATGTAAGCTGGTATAATTATTATTACTGTTAGGAATGCCTTGTTTTTCAACCTCAAAGATAAATTTTCCAGTTCGATAACACTTTTTGCACATAATAATCCTGTGTGCCAGATATTATGTTTGTGTGCTTTGCACACATGGTACAAACTCTTCTTAATAACCTTTCATGGTTGTTGTCCTTATTGGCAGTTTGCACAAGAGGAATTCGAAGAGACAAATTGACCTGCTCACAATTGAGTAAGTGGTGGAGCCTGGGTTGATAATCAGATCTGCTCCTAAAGCCTGTGTTCTTTCCACTGTACTTTCCTGCATTGTTGTTTTGCTTGAACCTCAGTCTAACTCTTACTCTTGCAGTTGGTTCTCCTGTAAAAAAAATGACATAAGAATAGTGCACAATTTTTGTTATGGAGCTGGAACTAAAAATAGCCAAGATTTTATTTCAATCTTAATATGTGCTAATGGTATAACATTAATCACATCAGTTAACTGTCAGATTAGCACATGGTTCTTCTTTTTTGTTTTTTTTTTTAATTTTTATTTTGTTTTGTTTCATTTTGTGGATGAGAAAACTGAGACTCAGGGAAATTAGTAACTTGTGATGCCTCAAATTATACGTACGGCTAATAAGATGTGGCAGAAAGGCACTCTAACCCTTATCTGTTTGACTCTGAAGCTTTATTCATCATCTTATTATATGGAAGTGTTTCACGAAAGTGAAACATGCTTGCAACTGTTAGTATTATTATAACATTTTTGATTTTTTATCTTTTACCTCTTGTAATTAGCCATCAACTTGAACTGTGGAGGTGTATATTATCTCCTTTGTGTGAATCATTTTGTCCTGATTTTTCTTTGACTGTGGTCACACTGCCAGCTCCTTATGGCAGAATGTTACAGCCCCAGAGAGAGCCAGAGCTGTCTGGTAGTTCATCCACAAAGCCTAGCTACATGGAGAGCTGATGATTTACAATCAGCAGCCGGCACAGAAATGGGAGGATCAGTTGGGCTGTGGAGTCTATTGAGACATGTACAAAACCCACTTTCACACTTGATTTATGTCATTTGGGGCAAACAACTGATAATCTTTCTGAGGCTACAGACCAGACTTTTTAGACCAGCGAATGATAAAGTCTCAGGATTTATTCCTATAGCTAAGTCTTTCTCTTTCTACATCCTCTCTAGTTTTTTAGGCTCGCTAAGGGAAATATCTCTGGCTTCAGATTGATCATAACAAACAGAAGCTGGTGGGAAAGCTACAGCCATCTGTTTTCTATAAATTAAATGTCCCGATTAGAGACCCCTATAGGGTATATGTGTCAGAAAGACATGGCATATTACTTATGTGAAAGAATATTATTTCTTGCTATGACTAAAATATGTCAACCTTGGAACTTGCCTCTTTTAACTGTTAATTCTTGGTTTTGTTGTTGTTTTTTTAAGAAGTATTAGAACTAGATGATAAGTCAGGGATACAGATGAAAATTTTAGCTGGGAAATGGAGTGGAGAGGGCTAGAGAGAGAAAGAAGAATTTATTAACCTCATTTTTTGATTGGGTCAAAGTGAGAATTTTATACTTCTTGATGCTTATACAATTGTAAAAAAAATTTATTTTGGGTTTTTTGGCTCTTATTTTATTGTTTAGTTTTTAATTTTTATATAATTTTTAAAGGTTACTTTCCATTTACAGTCATTGCAAACTGTTGTACAATACATCCTTGAGCCTATCTTATACCCAACAGTTTGTACCTCACACTCCCCCATGAACATTTTAAATGAATGCATCTTAAGAGCTAGATTTTTAAAATTCTATTCCTGATTATTGTATTGTTTTCCTGAGGGTTTACCCTTAATTGTCAGAACCCAAAGAAATATTACCCATTGTTCTCCACAATTTTCAATAGAAAAGGATGATGCCTCATTGCTACTTTAAAGTTATAAGGAGATCTGCTAAAAGCTCCTTGATTCTTCCTCAGAAATGTCTGCATCTGAGTGCTGGTAAGATTGGTCCATAAAGCATACTGTCACATTAATTGGAAGAATAGATATTCCTCCTGATGCTATTCTTTGGGTCCAGAAAAGGAACTGCAAGAATATCATGCTTGAATTGGGATACGTATTCCCCCCAAATATCAATAAGAACATTTCAGAGTGACTTTACCCCAAGTATACATTTTTCCAGCACTGCTGACATAGAATCCGATTAACAAGTTTAAAACAGTGGTACAGCGGCAGTGTTACTCACTGGCGAGCTGGCAACTCACCTCTCACCTCACAGGAGATAGCTACCTTCCCAGATTTGAATGTGAATAATTAATGGATTGGGGATGGACAAAGGTGGAGTATGTTCTTCTACTGCTGTTTTTTTTTTTTTTTTTTTTTTGCTTGTTTTATTTCCTGTTTATTTTTATTTGCAACTTTGATCCTTTTGGTGGTTGTGCTGTGTGCTGATCCTGTCCTCTGGAACTGTACAATCCCTACTCCTAAAACAACCTTGGGATGCCTTCAGTTACCTGTTCTATTCTCTTTTTCCCCTCATTTTAATTAGACCCTCTTTATCCCTCTTTTTTTCCACTATTTTGCATTCTCTCCCCAGATTGGCTCTTCCATTCTCCATAGGGGTCCATAGGTCACACATTTACACTGTTGTAAAATTCATTAGACATTTGTGTGGGATTGGGGAGGGGATAGAAAATGGAAAATTTTTGTATAAAAAAAATTTCTGAAATACTTCTTTCAGAAAATTTAAAGAAGACTAAAAGAGATGTTAAAATGTTTCCCCTCATCTCTCTCCCAGGGTTAACCTTTGCAACCGTGTTTGTAGATTTTTGTTTCTGAAAATGTCTGGAAGGAGTTTCACCAATTTGGTGCAGATATTTATGCTACTTTGATTTTAAATGTAGATTATATACAGCGGTGTGCTGGTAAATGTTTAACAGCCAGCTCTTTGAACAAAATATATGCATATGTGTACATACATACATATATATGTACATATATATGTATTTACAAACCTTACTGATATAAAGGATATATAACGCACAATTTAAAAATGATAATAAAATATAAAATATTCTTTATTGTAAATTCCATACAGCTGATTTATTCTCACAGAATGCATTTGTTGATTTTTACAGAAGTCTTGCATCTATAGCCAACCTACGGTTGCAAGTGACAAATGGATATGTTTCCAATATGAATATTGATTGATATTTTCATTTACATTAACATGTAAGTCAAAAGTGAAACAGCAAAGACATACTGAAACTTCACTAGTTTGTAAATTAAGTTAGCAACCTCTTTGTTGAACTGGATAATAGTGTTCAAATACTGGAAGAATATTTCTCAGTTTGCCCTGGTACCTGCAATGTAATGTCTATAGGTATGAAACATACATTTAATCTGCATTATTAACATTTTTTCCATCACTTTTTAAGTTTAAACTATGCATTCTCAAAGAGGATAATATAGCGCCTTGGGGGCAAAAAGTGACTCTTTGGATGGAGCAAAAAATGTTACTTTTTCATATATAAAGCGTAGGTATACATACAGTATACAAACAGTAATATATCTGTGTTTTAAATATTTCATGGAGAGAGGACAATTAGGCCAAAAATATCTAAAAGGACTACTTGGGGGTAACAATAACAAAACAAAAAGTTGAGAAACACTTGTTTAGAAAATCAGCCAAACAAGAAATAAAACCCTGATCTGTAGTGTTTGCTGATTTCTAGTAAGTACTCCCATTGTGGCCAATTTCAAGCTACCAATGTGGTTATCACTGAACATGGAGTTGGGAAGAGAGGTACAGCACCGAACCATTATATAGTACTTCCACCGTGCAGGCATAACAGGTATAAAGAAGAACCTCAAGAGTATAGAGATTAGTAAAATGTGGTAAAATAATTAGCAAGCAATGAGTTTTAAGTATTTTAATATAGATTATTAAATTGAACATTTATGTAATTTTATTTCTATTAAATACTTTATTTAAACAACTGGCTCACAGAATTTTTGAAAATATAAGCATCATCTTTCCTGAGCAAGTTAGAGCTGGCTCCTGCACACCACTAGATAATAAATGCAAAATTTTAGCCGGGGGAGGCTGCCTCATAGGCACCCCAGAGAGGCAGCTTTTCTTCAGCCCTGTTGAAAGGATGCCTAGAGAGGGCCCAGCAATTTCTTTTAGTTGGCTGAGATAATAAATATTTTGTCCATACCTTTAATGTTTTGAAAAATGGTATATACTTCTAGAATTAGACTTATTAGTTCAAATGGTATGAACTCACTTTAGGATTGGATACCTAATATCAAATTGTTTCCAGTAAGGTTGCATCAAATTATGCTCTCCCTAGCAGGGTAGTAGATTCCTATTTCACTGCACATTATACTTAAAAAAAAAAAAAAATTATCACCAGAGAATTATAGTATCTCATTATTGATTGAATAGCAAATTTAAAAGTGAAATTTGCATATGCCCGTTGGAGCAGATTGTATTGTAGCAAACAGTACAACCACATGAAACATGCTACAAATAATCATTCAAACCATTATGAGTATAGGTTTGAATTAAACAGTCATTCAACCATTTCTGAAAGCCAGAGATTTGAAAATGAAGGAAAAAAATCTCATTATGACCAGTTTGAGAGATCCTTTAGCAAGGGCTCATTATTTTTCAACCAACAAATATTTTCCCCCTCTTCCAATATCTGTAATGTTGATAATAATGGGGGAGTCTTTATCCAACCATCATCATTCAATGGGTATTACAGTATAGATAATATGGAGCAACCTTACACATGAAATCAAACGAGTGAGGCCTTAAGTGAGAGCTCTATCTTCAATAATTACAACAGTATTTATAATGGAGCAAGAATCTATCCATACATTGAATCTGGGACTAACTTTGACCAAGACTCAAGTCTCATGAAACATCAGAGAGCTCAATTTTCAGAGAACCATTATAAAGCGAATGAATGTAGAAATGTCTTTTATCAAAGCTCAAATCTTATTACACATAAGAATATCCATATTGGAGAAAATAATTACAAATTCAGTGAACGTGGTAAAGTTTTTAACCAGTCTTCAAGAGTTACTCAACATCCGAGTATTCATGCTAGGGAGGAACGTTACAAGTGTAATACATGTGGGAAGGTCTTTAATCAATTATTAAATCTAAATAGACATAGGGAAATCCATACTGGAGGGAAACATTACAGATGTGAAGAATGTGGCAAAGCCTTTAACCGACACTCAAGCCTTACTCGACATCAGAGAATTCATACTGCAAAGAAGGCTTACAAATGTACGGAATGTGGCAAAGCCTTTAACAGGCGTTCATATCTTGCTCAGCGAATTCATACTGGAGAGAAACCTTATAAATGTAAAGAATGTGGCAAAGCCTTTAACTGCCACTCGAATCTTACCTGTCATAATTCATACTGAGAAGAAGCTATATAAATGTACAGAATGAGGCAAAGCCTTTAACAGGCATTCATATTTTACTCAGCATCAGAGATCTCACACTGGAGAGAAACCTTTCAAATGGAAAGAATGTGGCAAAGCTTTTGATTACCACTCAAACCTTATTCGACATAAGATAATTCATACTGCAGAGAAGCCTTACAAATACAGATAATGTGACAAAGCCTTTAAGTGAGCTGTCACCTCACTCAACATCAGAAAGTGCATGGTGGAGAGAGACCCTACAAATGTAATAAGTGATGAATGACATTTGTCCTAAACATGCACATTAGAAAATGCCAGAGAGTTCATACTGGGAAGAATGTTTGATGATGTAAAACAATGTAGGAAAGTATTTAATTAAAAAATCAGATCTAAATAAATATCAGAGAATTCATAGTAGATAGCATTTAGTCAATAACTCTTTTCTGGTATTACTTTAAATCAAGATATTATAGAAAATAATCAAAAATTAAAACACTTAGAAAAATTATTTGTTAGTATGGATCACAGGATCAAGGGGAGAGATGTTTGACAGGTATAATTATTATCATTGTATCCTTATTTATATTGACATTATTTGAAAATAAAATTTAATATAATTCAACTCTCAGAAAAAAAAAAAAAAAGCTCCAAATATTTAAGGGTTAGTTGAAAGGTTCCTGAAATGTGTTGTTCCTTTACATTTGAAGTTTTTAGGTCCTCCCTATTCTGTAAGATGTTATTTATAAATGACTAGATCTATTTTTAGTGGTGTGGCACAGAATCCCCTCTGGCAGTATAGACAGTATCACGATTGCTAACAGTTTTATAAACAATATAGTTTCTATGATAGTGATGACAGAGAAAAAGATACTGTCAGAGTCTTTTTTAACTGAAAATCATGTCATTTCAAGAATCTAGAGAGATATTAAAAGTTCTCCTGGATGTGAGGTTATATACAATAGCATTTGAATATAAAGACTTTTAAATGTATTCCTCCAAAAAATTGTTGATACATATATTTTCACTGCTTCTAAGCATTTTCATGTGCAGATATAGGCATTAAAATCTTCATCATCAAAATCTGACATTTTATTTCTTTTTGTTTTTATTTATCAAGACTAAAGTGATTATTACTCTCAGGATTTGTTGGCTGGTACATCAGGACTTATATGAAGCATATAGTCTTAGAGATGTGAAAAAAGAGATTAACATATTTTAGAATGATAAAGGACACATATTACATAAACTGTTGTTTTCACATTAAAATCGGTATAAATTTGGACCTATTTTCATAATAAGAAAACACATTGTTTAAGATTATTGGTTTAAAACAAGGAAATGGCCATCTTTTACTAAGGTGGATGTTCTATGATATGTTACTGTTTCTGACGAGGGAAGCTATGGAGCTGTCTGTGAAGTTGGCCTCATATATAGTAGCATCTGAAACATTCATGTCTACTGGACATCTGGTGCCCTTATGGGCCTGATGATGGGGAAGGCTCTGGAAGAGTTCCCTATACTGGGAGGGCTCCTTAATAGCATATCCTTTCCACAGTTCAAGATCGCAACAAGTTTATCTTGGGGTCTCATTCCATCAGACTTTGGATGATGATCAAGAGAGATGATCAGGAGAGAGCCAGGGCTTAGGCTTTGGAAGCAGCTAGGATCAAATCCCATCTCTTTTGGGTGGCTGTATGTCCTTAAGCAAGTCCCTTAACTTTTCTCAGTTTCATTTTCCTCAAAGAGTGCTTGGGGACACATTCATCCATTCAACAAATATATTTTGAGCTTTCTATTAGGATTCTCCAGTGAAACAGAACCAGTAGTCTGTATAGAAAAATATTTATTTTTATTTATTTATTTATTATTTTTAATAAACTCTATTTCTTTAGAGGAGTTTTAGTTCACAGCAAAATTGAGCAAAAAGTACAGAGGGCTTCCCTGGTGGCGCAGTGGTTGAGAGTCCGCCTGCTGATGCAGGGGACACGGGTTTGTGCCCCAGTCCAGGAGGATCCCACATGCTGCGGAGCGGCTGGGCCCGTGAGCCATGGCCGCTGAGCCTGTGCGTCCGGAGCCTGTGCTCCGCAACGGGAGAGGCCACGACAGTGAGAGGCCCACGTACCGCAAAAAAAAAAAAAAAAGTACAGAGTTCCCATACACCCCTGTACCCCTGTAGGCATAACATTCCTCATTAATCAACATCCCCCACCAGAGTGATACATTTATAACATTTGATGAACCTACATTGACTCATTATCACCGAAAGTTCATAGTTTACATTAGAGTTCACTCTTGGTGGTGTACATTCTATGTGTTTGGACAAAATTATAGTGACATGTGTCTACCATTATAGTATCATACAGAGTAGTTTCACTGCCCTGAAAATTCTCTGTGCTCCACCTATTCATCCCTCCACCCCCCAACCCCTGGCAACAACTGATCTTTTTACCATCTCCGTAATTTTGGCTTTTCCAGAATATCATAGAGTTGGAATCATACATCATGTAGACGTTCAGATCGGCTTCTTTCACTTAGTAGTATCCATTTAAGCTTCCTCCAAGTCTTTTCACGACATGATAGCTCATTTCTTTTTAGCACTGAATAATATTCTATTGCCTGAATATACCTCAGTTTACATATCCATTCACCTACTGAAGGACATTTTAGTTGCTTCCAAGTTTGGGAATTATGAATAAGTTGCTGTAAACATCCATGTACAAGTTTTTTTGTGGACATAGTTTTCAACACTTTTGGATAAATACCAAGGAATGCAATTGCTGGATCGTAGGATAAAAGTATATTTCATTTTGTAAGAAACTTCCAAAATGTCTTCCAATGTGGCTGTACTATTTTGCATTCTCACCAGCAATGGATGGAGTTCCTATGGCTCCATATTCTCTCCAGCATTTAGTGTTGTCAGTGCTCTGGATTTTGGCCATTCTAGTAGGTGTGTAGTGATATGTCATTGTTGTTTCAGTTTGCATTTCACTGATGAAACATGATGTACAGCATCTTTTCATATGCTTAATTGCCATCTATATATCTTATTCTTTGGTTAGGTGTCTGTTCAGGTCTTTTGCTCATTTTTTAACTGGGTTGTTTATTTTCTTATTGTTGAGTTAAGAGTTCTTTGTATATTTTAGATAACTGTCCTTTATCAGACATGTCTTTTGAAAATATCTTCTCCTGGTTTGTGACTTGCCTTTTCATTCTCTTGAAAGAGATTTATTTTAAGGAATGGTTCATGCAGTTGTAGAGGCTGGCAAGTCCAAAATCTGCAGGGTAGGCCAGCAGGCTGGAAGCCCAGGGAAGAGTTGATGTTGCAACTCAATTGAAGGCAGTCTGCTGATAGAATTCTCTCTTTCTCAGTGAGATCTTTTTTTTCTTCAGGCCTTCAGCTGATTGGATGAGGCTCACCTACATTGTGGAAGGTGATCTGCTTTACTCAAAGTCTACTGATGTAAATGTTAATCTCATCTAAATAGTATCTCCACAACATTCAATGTTTCACTGAATATATGGGTACTATGGTCTAGTCATGTTGATACATAAAATTAACCATCATAGGCTCCTTCTCTGAGTCAGGCACACTTCTAAGCACTGGAGTTTGATCAGTTCCCTATATATATATATATATATATCAGTCCCAAATATATCATTATGTTGTACGTCTGAAACTAGTGTAATGTTTTATGTCAATTAGACCTCAATTTTAAAAAAGGAGTTCTACAATTTGTGAAGCCTACTTTCTAACAGATGGAGAGAGATAATAAACAGTAAAAATAATACACAAGTAAATCAAATGGTAATTTATAATGCAAGAAGACTTATAGGAAATTGATGAGATTGAGGCAGATCAGGAATATGGAGTATGGAACAACGGACTGACATGTGAGAAAAGATGGGAAAGCAGAATGCGACTTAGCCTTGTGATACGTAGGGGAAGAGAGTCCCAAGCAAGGACTAACCTAAATGAATTAACTCATTTAAAACTCCTTGAAGAGAATATCTGGCATATAGCAGATGGCAATTAAATGTGACTTCTCTTTCTATTCTCTTAAAGATTTAAAATTAACTTAACAGTGCATAGAATCTTGGAGTGTTGGGACAGGAAGAAACCTTTGAGATTATTTCATTCAACCTTGCCAGTCATTTTATAGATGAGCAAAGGAAGTGGAGGGAGGGGAAATGTTCTGCTTAAATTCAAAATTCTGTTTGTGATGGACCCATAACTTGTGTGTGTATCTCTTGGCTCCTGAGTTCCCATTTTAGCTATTCAACCATAGATCTTATAATGCAAGTTCTAGAACCAAGTAATACATTTGGATTTTCAGAGAGAACTTGCTTTGAAATGAATAGTTGTGACCCCCTAAAATTCTGGTATTAAAGCCTTAATCCCCAATGTGATGATATTTGAAGGTGGGGGCTTTGGATGATAATTAGGTCATGAGGGTGGAGGCCTCATGAATGGAATTAGTACCCTTATTCTTAAAAATACGAGATGATCTCTTTCTCAGCCACATGAGGTTACAGCAAGAAGGCATCCCTCTGGCAAGCTAAGAAGAGGGTCTTCACCAGAAAGCAAATCAGCTGGTCCCTTGATTTTGGACATCCCAGCCTACAGAACAGAAATTTCTGTTATTTAACCACGCAGTCTATGGATTTTTATTACATTAGCGTGAACTGACTAAGACAGACCTATTAACGTTTTAACATGGTGTGACATGAATATAGGATTTCAAAGGCTAAGCTAGATTGGAGAAGAAGGAAGCCAGGCCAGGGAGGCGTATTGAGATCTCTCTAGCCCTCCCTATATGGCAGATGACTGACCGCTCAAAAAGTCACAACAGCAATGAGAGTTTATTTCTACTTGCTTTCTTTGAGTTAAACGTACTCGACAGACTCTGTAAGTCAACATTCTACAATGTGGGAGTGATACCTCTTTGTAAGTAAGTATTAATTGAAGCAGATTTTTCCCAACTTCAACCACAACTGGG